CCTCTGTCCCTGAGATACTAGGAATCTGGTGCCTGGTTGCCACATGGAAATGTAGGAAACCTTTTTCTGAAAAGACTTGTCTGTAAGTGGGCACCATTCACCATTAGTGCCTTCTATTCCCAAAGCCCAGCCAAAACCTTGTGGGAAAAAAAAAGAAGGGAAATAAGCAAAAAACCACCCAGCCCCAAATAGGAGTTTTCAAAAGATGGAATTCTAAACACTCCATGAGATCTACTTGTGATTTTACCCCCACAAAGTCCATGAGGTCTGTGCTCATACTCTAAAGTAATGGATAACAAGGTCCAACTGGAAGAAACAGTTGGGCTTGGAAATGTGAACTAGCAAGACAAAAGTTGCCTCTCTTCTGCTTTCAGCAACCCAAAATGCACATGATGTGCTTTATGATCAACCCTTTGGGATTCTGGAGAAGGATACTCTATAGAACTCATTTCTTTTGTCATGGCCGAACCTGTTACTAAGAATGAATGGTGGGATCATTTCAGAGCAGAGTTAGTGAAACGTGACACAAAACGAGCACTATACCACAGCTATCATCCTATGGACATCATCCATACTGGTCTAAGGCAAGAAACTCATTATCTCATGTATGCTAGAGTAAAACCAACCTAAAACAACCAGGACTGATCAGGACTAGCAGGAAATACAGGGGCTACAAGTTAAGAGAAAACAACAAAAAGCAGCATAGGATCACCAAGCTCCATAGACCTAAATTGCCTCTGCTCCACCACCATCAGCAATGACAGCACTTCTACAGAGATTTCTGATACATGTCTGCAGCCTTTTCACCTGCTATGCCACTTCTGTTTCTGTTCAGTGATACAACAGCAGGGTTTAAGGAAGGATCATACTGGAACAAGTTGGTTACTGTTCTCGACTGGTACCCAGAAATTAGTGTCACATGGACAGCAGCGTCTTCTATACCCTAGAAACAGAAATGAAGAATATGTCAGGGATAAGAATGCACCAATTAAAAAAAAAAAATCATTCCTTATATTCCTGTATCTCCCATACCTAACTAATCAGGCACACAGGCACTGACGAAATTTGTATATACACTGGACTTTGCTTAAATGCATACAGTTATATTGTCTTTAAAGGTGCATCTACGGAGAGTTATAAACCTTGAAGCAATCCCAGACTATGCAGGTTTTCATCTGCTATATCCATTCTAGCAAATTAAACAGCAGTAAGTCATAGGCATAGACAGTTTTGTCTACGCTTAAACTATTAGCATTGTTCTGGGTGTAATTTTGCCACGCAGCAAAGAGCACTGCTGCTAACAATCCCTAGGCACGTTCTTGGATGAGACACAGAGGAGCTCTGAATGTAAAGTAGAAGATTTGGGGCTGAAGAGGGTTCAACAATGCGAGCAAGAGCAATTGTCCCAGGCATGTTTAATCTATTAGTAGACAACTGAAAGTGGAGACATGCAATTTTCCTGGAGATTGAAGCCACAGTTTTGTTTATGTGAAGCTTCACTAATGACAATGCAATCGGAACTTTTTGCTGATTGTTTCACTGGTTTTCAAAAATCACCTATTAGTCTGTTGTTAATTAACCTGGTCTAAACAGTAGGTGGAGTCCACGTTAAACTGTCCCACAGCCAAGACTTGGCTGATGGGCTACTGTTTGCCTTTCTGCCAGCGTAGCTCAGGCCAGGACAGCATAGAAAGGCCTGTAGGCTGTTGACTGTTCCCAACAAATGTGGTTTCTTACCCGAGAGGGAACTTCACACTCAATTCTCGTTGAATTTCTGTCATCCTCCAAAATTGGGCAAGGCTGAGATCCAAACAACACCATGTTTACCCCTTCCAGATTGATCCCCCTGAGAGCCACTCTCAGTCCTCCTACAAAACCAATTATTCTGTTACATTCAAGAAGCAGAATGAAATTTTTATGTACAAAGGTTTCTTTATTAGTAGGTGACTACAAAAGGGAGTACCGTCTCTCAGATGATCTGATGACGATCTGCTTCCACCTTATTGTGCCTAGCTTCCTCTCTTTCACCAGAGATCCTTCTTACCTATTATTTGAATTCTTGTCCGTGATACAGGAGGACTGGGTCTGTTTCTCGGTTTATTTTTTAATGACATACTTGCTTAAGCTGGTTGGTCTGGCCTGTGATCTCAACCTTAGAAAGATCCCCAGCCCAAGAACGAAATAAGGAAGGAAGGAAGAAGCACTAAGAATGGAAAATGAGCTTAACACAGCAGGTGCTTTCACAGTTCAAATAGCTGCCATGCACCCTGCTGTCAAAAAAGCCTTTAGCATGTGCCTAGGAAACTTAGGTTAGAAAGGGGACTTGGCAGGACTTGAGACTTAGCAGAGTTGTGAGGAAAGTCACAGACGGCTTGATTCAGCGAAGCACTGAGAAACCTCAGCTCTTTTTTGTGCCAGCCAGAGCTGAGTGTCTTCAGTCACATGAAGGATCATACCCAACACAAGTCAGACCTGCACTTCATCTTTCTGCAGCACCCAATTCCAATGCAAATAACCAAGGTGCCCCTTTGTTTTTTCAAGTGACTAGAAGATTTAGGGATGTTTTGGAGAAACAGGAAAGAGAACAGGAGTGGACATTTATGGCAATTCTAACCTGGGCTTTGTTCTTCAATGCAGTTCAGAGACAAATTTTAAAAAAATAAATAAATAAAAGAAATCTTTGAAACTTACAGCTGTTTTCTTCAGTTATTAGTACTGCAGAGTTTTAGGACTACGGCTGGACAGACAGACTGCTCAGACAAGAACTTTATTCATGCGATGTTTATGTGTATATGTTAGTATAGCTATATTACAAACCAACTGAGCGTTTATAATGATTTTCTTGTGTGATGTAAGTAAATGTCTATGGTAAAGTCGTCATATATTGATGGCAGGATCCCTTGTACCTTTGCCTCAAAGCATCATTTCCTGCTAATTCTTTAAAGCAACAGAGAAGTCTAGAAGCTTAATCTTCTATATTTTCTCTGGCTTACAATAAAAACGGGCAAACAACAGCAATCAGATACATTTACAGCGGGATCCTTCCATCCACTGGAGCATGGTAGTATCTTTAGAAAGACATCCCATGCTTATAGACTAGGTCACAGGGAACTCCCAGCACAGTACCACTAAGACCAGTGACATTTTGACAAAAGGGACCTGATGCAGCAAAGTACACGGCACGTCCTGGCTTCCTTTCCTGTAATGTTAAGTTTGCAGAGTCAGGAATGCAAAAATGAAGCCACTTGTCTAATGTGATAGTTGTCAGATAAGGAGCCTCAGATTTAGAGTACAAGATCCATGTGTGTTGTGCAAAGACTGATGCTCTTAAGTTTTGATATCTACACTTATATCCATATGCAATGAAATACTGCATATGTGCACTTTACGATAAGATTGAAGAGAGGTATTTTAAACGGAAGAAATTAAAAACACAGATGGAAGCTGTAATTCTTCCCAATTATAAATGTTCAAGGCATATGTAATGTAAGATAGCATTATACTTGCTTTCTTTTTAATGAGTGACAGATCACTGTAATTGGGAGAACTGGATTGTCAGTGAAGGAAATGAGAAGCAAAGCCTAAGCACTAAAACGTGTCATTGCTGGCTTTTTTCTTTTAGGGTTTTTTTTATGAATTCAAACAGTGAGTATCAACCTTATGACCCTCCCACTGGAAAGGAGGGGGGAAAATAAAGGAGAAAATAAAAGATTTAGGATATCTTTCTTTCCATATGCTCCAACAAAACATAAAGAAAAGAGATGGCCATACCTTCTTGCTTTTCAGCTTACGAACCCTACATTCTCCCAAGACCATCCCATGGCTCATCCACATAGAGGTTCACAGACCACCATTCCCTTCCTCTGCCTGCTACAAGGTGGCCGGTTCTCCAAGCCACACAGCTGAGCTAGCTTCATGCTGCACCTCAGGCAGCACTCCTGCTCTCAGTGATGTTTGTTAGCATGAACTCAAAGCACCTCGGTAACGAAACTAGGAGGTTTTCAGACAAAATCTGGGTGACTTTTACTGTCAGGGTAAACCTGGGTCATGTTGTTTCTGGATGTATTCCTAGCTGCTTGAAAACAAGTCGTATTCTGAGACCATTGGTCCTTACTGCACAACCCAGGTATGTCAAGACTGTTCTCCACATTTCTCACTGTGTTGGGGGAACTCTTCCTTTTCCCAGAAAAAGAAAGAAAGGGAGGCTTTTCACAACCTTTGGTATGGCTTAGCTACAGTTGGCTGGGCACCTTGCTGGAACTTCCACGTGAAGTCCTCTCATCTATGTCACATACAGGGCAGATAAGGGTCATAATGGTTCTTTGGCCCAGAGTTCTGTGGAAAATCTTCCAAGCTCTTGTCCTCAGGGATGGAATATATCACGCCTTATTTCCTCTTCTGTTTCAAGGAGGGGAGGGGTAATGGGAACGGAGGGAGCTTCAGTTTATTTTGAGCTTCCCTAAGTTTCTCAGTTTTGTATCTAAACACAGATGAGTTTTCCATTTTACCACTTAGAATAGGAATTCACTTCAACTGGACTGAGATGAACCAAAGTTTAGTCATTTCACAACTAGGCCACATGCATCTAAATACTACAGTTATGTGTCAAAGGGATGTGGGAAGATGAGCCACGAAACAATAATAGCCTTCTGGAATGCCGGAATAAACCTACACTTGAACTTACAATTCTCAAACAAAACTAGTTGTGGAACTGATTGCTTCCGCAAAGAACCAAGGAAAGTCTGTCACTTTTTGTATGAAACTTGCCCCAGTGCTTTGGGGCACACAGAATGTGTCCAGCCGTATTATGTCTTTTTTGTCAGATGGAGACCTCGGTAATCAAAGTACAGAACTGAAACACACCGTGAAAAGCAAGAAGCAGAAAACAGATGTCCCTTTAGATCTGGTCTGCCACTCAGACCTACCAATCTCTGAAGCTGTAGGAGGTTCGATAGCCACCAGCTTTGGTTCAACTCTTAGGAAGATGCCTTCTCCTGTGCTGCCATTGAGTGCAAAGCCATAAGGTCTCACGAGTAGTGTCACCTGGTAGACTCCGACTGGCAGCCTCTTCATCTGGCAAACCACTTCGGTTTGATTTGAGATTATGACGTGGCAGGTAGTATTGTTCACCTCGACCTGCAGGGCTGGCTTCTCCTCACTGAAGCCAGCTCCCCTGATAACTACTGTGGCTTGGGACCCACCATCTGAAGGAATATAATCAATAAGATGACTCATGAATTTTTGTGTAGCAATGCCTAGGATTTACTTTGACAGTTAAAAGTTTTTAGGATGTCCTGATGAAGATGATAAAAAGTACACCAACAATTTCTCACTGTCCCTCATAGTGCCTATTCCCGCCTGTCCCTGTTCAGCTATCACTTTTTTCTTAAATTTTTATTAAAAATAACTCGAGCCAAGAGCCACCTTCTGCTTTAATCACCAAGCTTATTACTTGTCGATGTAAAAACATGCCTCTACTATGTATTCTAAGACTGGAGCTGACCAGAAGTGCCCCACTAGATAGTTCAGTTTCCATAAAATCAGAAATTTCCAAAAGAATACACACATGCACACAAAATCATCTTTTTCACTGAGCAGCATTTTTGCCATTTTGTTCAGACACAAAGCCTTTTACCTGATGAATACTCCACATCACTGACTAAGGGTGTCAGTTCCTGGTTGAACTGGAAAGAACATGAACCGGAACAGTTTGCAAGGACATCATTCACCACCACCACCACCTGGAGACAGAGAAGAAGGTTACCCTAAAGTTGGGAAGGGAACAGAGGTGTTTTCTGGAGCCACATCTGGCTGGTAGACCTGTAGAGCAATGCTGAGCTACCAAGAGCACTCTGTGCCAGAACAGAGCACAGCCAGGCAGCTGTTTATTCTTCTGCAGTCTCATTACAGATTTAATTGCGAGGCTCGCTAGGGCTTATCTTAGGCAAATACAGCTTTGGAAGCTGTATTGCCAGCCTTTCTCGGTGTCTGCAGGATCCTATCTCCCACTTTTCTGGGACACACAGCTCCTCCCAACTCCTGTTCTTCTAGTCATACATTGAAGACCCTACTTGCCATATCCCAGTTCTTCCCACCTTGCCTTAGGTACGAGTTTACTATGTTTAAAGCATCTTATAAGACTAATTAGAATGAATCCCAGAATGTGCCTTTTCAGCTTGCAGCCCTCAATTTTATTATTTTTTCCCTTGTTGTTCATGCTAAAATAAGGAAGCTGGGCCATGACCTTGATTATCTAACAAAAGAGATCAAGAGATATCTCTTCTGAGATTTTGGTATCTCAGAAGAGTCAACTGTCAAAGTATAGGGCACATGAGAGCCCCTCTTCATCTCCCTCCCATGTATTAAGGGTGTGCCAGGAGAGTACACGATTGCCTACAAAAAGCAAAAGCAGATTGTCTCCAAAAAACCGGAAGAAACACAGAGCTACAAAGTACTCTGCTTGAACAGACACATAATAATTAGAGGGACATTTTTATACTTGTTTCTAGCAGCAAACCAGAATAAAGCTTCAAAAACTACGAGGAAATCTGATTGCTGCTGCAGTTCTTATTTGATGGCTTGTCTGTACCACAGATGAGAAAGATATCGTAGGTGGTTGATTCACTGGAAGAAGGGCAGTCTTCATGTCTGGGAACCAGAAAAGCAGGATGACCTAGCCCCAAATGCCGAACAGCTGGGCTTCGAGAACATCCAGCAACACCCTGTTATCGCTACGGTGCCTGGCAGGCTTTGCTGGGAGCAAAGCTAGCAACGTGCACACCTCTGCAACTTCTGAGAGCAGAGTTTGCAACACGTTTGTCCATCCAGCAGACTCATTCAGCCATGAAACCCTCCTTGCTCCCTGTTCACATATGAAGAATTGAGAAGGACAGAGGCTCAGGGACTTGCTCACTCACAGATTAGTACCACAGCCACCATCTCCTTTATTTTGCCCATCAGTGTAACAACTGGAACACTGCAGATGAATAGAGTGTCATTCCCAAGTTTGGTGCCAACACCATAGGACTCAGCAAGGGTGTGAGTCCAGAGACAGCATCAGCCCTTGGCCATGGCCTCAAAAGAAATAAATTGTCTTCCATCACCCATGATGACCATTCTTCCCACCTGTAATAGCTCTTGGAGGAAAGTCCTGCTCCACAAACCAGGGAGCAGAATCTGACAGATTTATGGCACAGCACGGAACAGTAGATTTCTGAAAAGTTTTAGTGGCAGAAGTAGATACCTGAATATCTGTGAGGCTCCTGTATCTACATGACTGAAGTGAATCAAGAGGAAGTGTGACAGCACATCTCACCTGTGTTTTGTTATTGAAGGTAGCAAGCATATCCCCAAATATTGGCCCAATAAACACACCTCCGTCATAAACCACACGACTAGAAACAGTTGGTTTCAGACCCGTGAGGTTTTCAGCAGAAACCTGGAAAAGAACAAAGAATATAAGTTTCTTGTCATTTTTGGTCCTGTGACTTTAAATTAAAACCATTCCCTCTGAGTTCATACAGCCTTTACAAGGCAGCAAATAACTCCTGGAAACCTCTTTTCAAGCTTCTTCCATGACTCCTATCTCCAGGTCTAAATCTCATTACCCAAGACTTCACAACACCTCCCTGTTCCCATCTTCAGCTTGCAGGCAAGACACTGAAGCGAAAAGATTTAGGAGCCAGATTTGCAAATAAACTTCTAGAACTCAGTAACATCAATTGGAGTTAAGCATAGAGCGAGCTTTGAACATCTGCTTCTCAAAGACATGACTTTGCGTGGAACAAGGGCTTGCATTACAGCTGAAGATGCAGCTCAAGCTTTTTTACCATCCAGGCCAGTGTCTTGAGCATGAGAACTCATTGTTCCATCAAAAATAATTTTACATTTTTAGAAGCTGGATATACAAATAAAGAGTTTTACTTTTGTGGGAAGGAAGCAGCTCAGTCTGAGTCCTTATTCAAAAAAGACCCTTCTACTTGAAACAAAAATGATAAATCTTGGGATGGAAGAATGTGTACTGAACCTTCATTTGAGACTTATGAGAATCAGATATGAACCCATACAAAACAGTTCTCCAAAAAAACCCATCTTGGCCCATAAATCATGCCATAAACCTGTACTGAGCTTCAGTTACTGTACTAACACATTAATGTGATTATAACAGCTTTCACTTCAGTATAGCAGACCCTTTATTCTGCAGAACTGCAACAAAACACAGAAATTACATTCTAACCTCCTCGCTTTTAAGCACAGACTCTGAAGCTGTAATTTCTCCTCCTGTAACTGCAATTACTTTTTTAATCACCTAATCTGGAATTTGCTTAAACTGCTATTCCTAATGGGAAGACGTCTGTGGGACGTCTGTGTAAAAACAAATGCTGGGACAATGAGTCAGCCAAGGTCGAAGACAGTGAATGGTGTTCAAAGTGGGTGTTAGTAAAAGAAATTACTGTACATTGATAACATTGGGCAAGTCCCCAGTTTTTGTTTTCCAAGTCAGTGTCCAGATGCGTTCATAGCAAGAGTTGGAGTCTTTGGTCACAATGAAGTCGCTGGTGTTGAAGTACGGGGCTGTAGAGTTGTCTACGTTGTCTTGCAAAAGCTTGCGGAGGTGGTGGGAGGAGCTGTGTACTGAAACATCTGCAAAAGACATTAGAAAAAAGTGGATCTCATCACCCCTATGAGAGCACATTGCCTGCTCCAAAAAAAGAAAGACACTTCATTATTAGTGTGAGGTTGTTGTGGTTCAAATGTCTATAACTGCCAAAAAGAAGCAGAGAGAGAAATTTACTGGGTCCCAAATGCCAAAAGATCTGCACTATTTAACACTTAGAAAACCTGGAAATATCCCTCTGGTCAGGACCATCACAAATTTTGTTTAAGTAATACTTTTTATTGCATGTCACTCAGATTTTTGGGAGACATGAAATTTCAGTGAGCAAGTCATGTTCCTTCAAAATAGAAAGGTCAGAAACTTCCTAGATGAGACGGGTATGGGAGGAGTCAGCCTTTCAAGAAGTCTTTGTAGAGTTCAACCCCAAATAAACAAAAATGTTTTATTTCTTTTGACATAAATACCTATAGCCATTCAAAGCTGCAGATATGATATAAATACCTACAGCCATTCAATTGCAGATAAAATAAATCTCTCTAAACCAGTTCGTAAGAGGGGGAAGCACAAGACCTGGGAACAGGGCAAGATGAATGGAGTACGTTTCTAAAAGATGATGTTCAACCCCAAATAAACAAAAATGTTTTATTTCTTTTGACATAAATACCTATAGCCATTCAAAGCTGCAGATATGATATAAATACCTACAGCCATTCAATTGCAGATAAAATAAATCTCTCTAAACCAGTTCGTAAGAGGGGGAAGCACAAGACCTGGGAACAGGGCAAGATGAATGGAGTACGTTTCTAAAAGATGATGTTCAAAGCAGGGCGCTATTGAGAAATAGGGAAATCTTAAGTGACAACGTAGAGGAAAGAGTTATTTCACAAATATTCTAAGGCTGTATTTTCCAATCTTTTCATTTGACTTTATAACTGAGTCCCCATTTCCTCAGAAAATAATTTTATCATTAGCCTTGTTTAGATTAACCTGCTCACTTTCATTCTAAGCCTCTTTGATTATTTAAATAAAGCACAAGAAGACGTAGCACATGTAAATGGTGACCAACTCAAATCAAGCAATTCTATGCACAAAAGCTTTTGTGGTATCTGCAAACCAGTTACCAACCCTGGCAGTCTTAGAAGAGAATTAATTTTCCGGTAACCTGCAAGGGTCTTGTCACCAGAAGACCAGAAACACACATGCTGGAGAAACATCAGCATAATGAAACCTGAAGATGCAAAATCCCAGTTCAGGATCTGATCCAAAGTTCTTTAACATTAAGGTAAATATTTCATAGTGGCTGTATGCATTTTGGAGCAACCCCGTACTTAACATCTATAAATGCTGCCCTGCCTACAATCCTTAATTACTGTCTTGAAGGCCATCAAATGCCAGTATCTAGCAACTCTCACAATAGGTTTAACCTGCCAACCCATACCCTGAGCATGTCCAAGGTTCGATACTGTCTTTTCTTCACTTGTCTCCCTGCAAAGGAAATCCAGGACCTGTACTTGCATCTTCTTTTACCTGGTATCACTGTGTTGGCCAAGTGGATGCGGAAGGTCCCTCCAATAGGTGGGGATGACTTTTGCAGTCTCTGAATGGTGAGGCTGACTCTCACATCCTCCGTGGAGACATAGAGATGGCCATACTCCTTAGAGCCTTCCCCAAGCAAAGCACCTCTGTGTGACAGAGAGGGTTCACATGAAGGCATTAGCAGTCAGGATCCCCACTCGTGACACCCCCATGTCACCAGTAGCAGAGGGACACCTATGGGAACAGCACTCTTGAAGGATCCAAGGAGAATACATTCAGAGATCAGACTTGGAATACTCCCAACTGTTGCCTACATGATGTGAGCAATGCACACAACAGAAAAAGGACAGAAAAACATCTTTTTTTTTAATTACGATAGAAGAAACTGTTCATACAGCACCAAGCACAAGCAATTCCTGCCTCAGTACGGGCATTTTAAAGGACTAACTAAATGCAGCCTGGGCAGCAGCTACAACATCAAAGCAAAAAGCTTTCCTACTTCTTCCTGTGGTATCCTCAAGTCTATCAAAATCCTAACTCCCTTGAATTACAGCAATACTTTGTGTTAGAGTTCACCCAAAGCCCAACTTCTAAAACTGAAAATATTTTCTCGTTTGCCACTAAATGCTCCTTTGTCAAAGGAAAAAGACTCTCTGTGGTACAATGATGCCACCATGTGGTTAAGTGAATGGGTAACAGCTAAGTCTCCGATGGCAGCTCTGCAGAGCAAGTGTCGAGAATCCGAAACCAAACGGAGCACGGAGCCTTCTCCAAGGACACACAGCCGGTACATCAGACTTTGCCTAATATCCCTGCCCCGATCGCAGCACGTTGTATCAGAATACAGCACAGCATGTGCTCGGTTAAAAGAAAGAGCCGGATTATTTTTTTTTTTAAGATACCCAAAGACAGTGATCAGCCGACTCACTTTATAACCATGCGCTGATTTCTGTTTTCAGTCTTCCTGGCTTCAGCATCACACACTGATTTCTCTTAACATCTTCCTCTGTGAGACGGAGAAGCCCGCCAGTGCCAAGCACTTTTTTTTTTTTCCTGGTGCCAGGTACTGTGATCAATCTACCTCTTAATCTTCTTCTTGATAAGCTAAGCAGATTAAGCTGCTTAAATCTTTCCAAAGCATTTTCCTGTCAGTCTTCTTCTTTGTGCTGACTTGGACCATGTCTCTGAACCCAAACAGGTGATTGATTAATTCACCAAAACCTTGGATTTCACCAGGAAATTCAAGGACTTGCCTGCTCTGGGTGTTACAGGGCATTGAGATGATCAACTCACCGTCCCTACCTTAGAGAGAGAAGGGGCAGACTTGCACCACAGTCAGACACCGTCCAGGACACATTGTAAGTAGGAGAAGACCCGACCACAGATATTGCTTCAACTATCCTCCCACCTAGCCAGGGTGGTTTGGGATCCCTCTGAGAAACTGAAAGAAAAAGAGCACAAGCATTCATTAGAGCAAGGAGAAAAGCTGTCACTATGCCTAGGTTATTTTCATTTCCTAGCTGGAAACATAGCTGTTTGGGGGGGGTTTATTTGTTTTTATCTGGGCAAGACCATTCAAGAGTTACATTTGTAGACACAGGTTTTCAAATAAACCAAAGCCATAAATATTTGGCAATTCCTTCTTGACTGTTTTCATGAAAAAACATAAATTAAAAAAAATATATATATATTTTTGTGCCTGTTACGAAATACCCTTCCTCTTTGAAAGAGTTTCAACCAGCCCCATCATTAAAGATTTTAATGCAATATCCTGGAAAGACTATAACATTAACAGAAAATAGAAAAACAAATTCCTTTACCAGTCACAGCTTTGTCTGCAATGACAACTTCATCAACGTAAAATGACTTAGATGCTTCCTTTGGCAGCACAGGGCTCAGCAAGTCTATCTGGTGCACAAACAGCGGGGAATTGGCAGGCAGGTCCTGGAGAAGCCTGGAGCGATTCGCACACCCCTTCCAGAGGTCAGTGCAGGTAAATGTCCAGCTGGAAGAGACCAAGGTTGTGCAATATCTCTTTTGCCATGAGGTAGTTGCAATAACTGACTTGTGCTTTGTGAAGCTTCCAGGTAATATCAGGTACTGCTGCTATTACTATTGTTATCGCTCGTATACAGGACATTTGCTGGATGGCTTGTGATCACTCTCTACATGTCTCTGTTGGGTTGTCCATAGTAAGAAATAAAGCTTTAGATCTCTGCTTAGGTATCCTCCTCTGCTCACAAGAGTAGGATGTGGGAATGACTGCCACTGCTCTATTTTTGGCAAAAGCACTATGAGAGCATCAGTGACATCAACAGGGGTCAATCCACAGATCAGGCCCCTTGGGAGTACCAGATGAGCGCTCAAGGCTTCCAGCTCTCTCCACCAAGTAGTAATTTAATCCCAATCCCATCTTCCCCTTCCAGGCATGCACACACATCCCCTTCACAACCTTACAGACACCCAAGCTGCCAACTCCACCTCCTGAAGTTCTTCAGACACTCCTCATTTTTTGAGTCCGCTTACCCCAAGTTTTACGTCTAACATCAGATGCTTTCCACCCATGTAATTCTAAGTAAGTATAGAAAATCAAAGACTACACCAATTTTCAAAAGTTTGTATACCAATGATCTCATGAGGTTCCTGGCGGGTGGAAATTAATTCATCTCTCTGTCTCACTGCAGAAAATCCATTGACTGTTGACAAAGAAACCATTAAACCAATGTCCTCAGAAACCTTCTAATGTGCTTACCAGTGACAGAACAAACTCTCCGTCTGTGTATTACTGTGGTGAGATAGTGCACATAACAAGAAACATACAGATTTTCTCCGTAAATCCTCAAAAAGGAAGTAAGTATGTTGCAGGAAGACCTTTGCAGGGACAGAGGATGCGTCAGCTTACCCCAACTGACAATTTGTTCCTATACAAATAAGAACTTACTTCTCACAATTTTCCTAATACACCGTCTTACTACGGAAAGTGTCGTCTCTGGAAACTGTGAGTGTCTGGATACCTTTTAGAGTCAGTTTCATTGAAATCCCATAGGCAGGTGAGGTTCCTTTTCACTGAACATAAAGAGACATTGGTGTAGGACACCGAGATATGAAGGATATTGCTCATATGACCTTTATGTGCAAAACACACCTGCAAAAACAGGAGGAAAAAAACCTTTCACAAATCAAGTGATTGATGAGCAATGTCTGTAGAAGATACTATATTTTACTTAACATTAGTAGGGAAATATTTTGCTCAAGGTCAGTAATAAAACCCACACCTTATGGCCAAATTGCCTTGAATAATACCTAGAAGAGATGGTTCATTAACACCCAGGTGACCTGTGTGCCACCACAGTCTGACGCTGACCCGTTAGGCTTCAGTGAGGTTTTGAGGCAAAACATAGATGGGAAGCACCAACGGGGACTTCAAGGGAGGAAAGGAAACTGGAAGAGTTTGTGAGATTTGCAAGGTACAGTGTTTGGGATGGGTGCCAAGGGGGAAGTAGGACCAGAAGGGGTCAGTGAAGTGGAACTGGAAGGAATCTGGGAGGACTGCAGGAGTCTTTGGGGACAATCTCTCCCTCTCTTCTCCTTTCTTCAATGCCCAATTTTTTGCCTTCCTACGGGTAGCAGAGAAAGTATGACAGGGTTGAAATCAAGACCTTATTCCTATTAAAAGCAGATGTAGAAGATGAGCAGAAAGGTTATCCAGGTTAAACAATACCCACATGTCAGGGATCTCAAACTATCCACCCAGTCAACCGAAGACACTCTGCTCTTTCCACAAGCATAATCCAAAGTCATGAACCTTTGTGGATCTAAAAGAAGTCTTAAACAGACCAGCTGATTTTATGCCATTGATCTGGCTCTGAGTATTCACTCCTCAGTGCAGCACACTCATCAAGAGCAGCCACTTACATGTGTGTATTCAGTGAGATCATATCTTGGTAGAGTTGATGGGGAAGTTTTCACCAGCTGGCTTGGTCTGTGAACACTGAACCTTCCACAGAAAGGCTCTGTTCCACTGACAATGTGTCCTGTGGTAATGACGCCCTTCATATCTGACAGATATAAAAAAACAAGAGGGGGCGAGAGGCTTGAAAATTATTCAGAAGACACCAGCACAATCAAGAGATTCATGAAAATACAGGAAGTGGGTATCCAAAATTTGTCAAACAGTCCTACTCGTGAGTGTTCTCCTGCCCAGATAAATGGTGAACATCTGCAGGGCAATGGTTCCCCAGCTTAAGGGCGCTGAAAGACACGAGGAGGGACCTTGGGATTACTGTTCTGACCATAAAACCTCATGGCAAATGACCATATTTAAGCCATATAGAGTGTGTTTGACCAAATCCACTCTTTTTTTTTCCGGAAAACACCCAGCCAAAGCTGGAAATTGGTATGCGAAAACCCAGTGAACCCACCTTCCCCTTTGGGATGTTGGTTCCATTAGTCTACTGACCCTGCTGCTGAAAAAATGCTAGGATTTCTTTTCTTCCTAATACATAAAAGATTTTCTTCCGTCACCATATACTGACAATTCACCATTTCCTTCAGTAAGAGATATAAAACCTACAAAATGGAGTCAATACCAGAGTTTAAAAAAAAAATGTCAAAAGGAGGTAGCTGAGGTTCTTTGCACAAGTGTTGGATCTGTTGAAATCTTCACTGGAAGAAATAATGGATGTAATGTTTAGCTGTGTTCAAGGGGAGATTTTGTAAATACAGGGAAGAAAGAACCGCTGAAAGTAGTTAAGTTAAAAAACATATTATACTCAGGAAATTGAGCTGAAAATATTCATATTTGGATAAAATTAATGATGAATTGTGATACATAATCATCCAGTTTTCACTCTTCCCTAGGCATCTATTTTTCTTTCGGCTGAAGACAGGACACTAGGCTAGGTGGACCCTAGGTCTGAATGTGTGTGGCTGTTTTATTTTCCTGGCATCCATTCACCACAATTTCACCATTGTTCTGCTGTCTTTTGAAGTTATCTACATTTTACAATCATCAATGAAAATTCAAGTTCTCCTTTGTTCTATTTCTTATGCATCAATTTTTATTCCCACTGTACTGAACTATCATTGCCTTTTACGTCAAGTTTTTCTCTTTTATTAGTTGGCAGAATTGTATATTTGGGATCAGATTAAAAATGTCTATTTGCTATTTTAATTTTTCACACAAAGCTTCCCTCCCTCCCCAATTAAGGTTGATTAACTGATTTCCTCCACTTGGAGGAATCAGTCACCATACATACGTATTACCAGCTGGGACCTGTACAAGAATTTGATATGGGGTCTCCAGGTAATCATTTACTTTTTGGTGTAGGATAAGCATACTGCTATTGCTGTCAGATATAGAACGATAGAATGGGCTGGGTTGGAAGGGACCTTTAAAGGTCATCTAGTCCAACCCCTCTGCAGTGAGCAGGGACATCCTCAAATAAAACAGTTTACTCTGAGCCCCGTCCAACCTGATCTTGAATGTTTCCAGGGATGGGGCTTCTACAACCTCTCTGAGCAACTGTGCCAGTGTTACTGGAGTTACTTTCTACTACAGTAGCTTTCTGATGTGCACTATACCTTCAGTGTTAGAAAACTATTATCAATAATTTGATTTTTTTTTTTTTTTTACAAAAGCTGTCACTGCTTTACGCTTTGCCTGAGCAGTTAAGTACAGCACAGATATTTGCCCTGTTTCACTTTCAGTCATCAAGACACACTGAGAGCGAAGACATCCAGAGTCAGAATCAGCCCTTTCAACAGCCTGAGCTGTAGCTATTGGGCTATACCAGATTTGCTTCCCCAGCAGACGTATTGAAACATGAATTTCACACACCCCAGAACTTGCATTTTTTGTCTGTACTCCCAACCTTTCTAACAAGCGAAACATATCACCTGCTTTGATAAGTGTGTTGCAATATGACTGAGTCATACAGTGTATTACAGAAAGAGTCTCTCATTATTATATTAATCATGTTGGTTTTAATATTAGTTCCATAAACTCCCCCATCAGAAAACATACAAACAATGAATAGCTGATAAACATATATCTATGTACTTAAACACATTAAAAGTGTAAATTTACTGTGATTAAAATTTTAAAGTACACATTTCGTCAAAGGAAATCAACTTTCACAGTAAATACTGCTTATTTGTCATAGAAGATCAGTACCTTCTTTCTCAAAACCATGGCGGAAAAGGATTTTAGCAGAAGTTGGCTCAGTTTCACATCCTATTGAAAGAAGTTCCTCTATTGCTGTTTGAACCTTGAAAAAAAATTAGGAAAGTGAAAAGTAGTCACAGTACAACGGTGTCTGAATCATTTCCACAGGGAGCTTCAACACACACAACATCCCTACATTCTTCATCAGCCAGGGACCGGTGGCAAGGTAGCTCTGAACAAGCAGGTAGCCAAATGGTAGAGAACAAAACTCAGCTCAACACAGAGTGTAAATTTCCGTGTCTGATACCCTTCAGGGGTGCAAGACATCCTTTAGGTGTCCAGCAGCCTCCTCAGAAAGGTGCAGATTTTTTACAGAGCTATATCACAGCCTGACCATCTGCATGGCTCCACCAGCTCTGCTGACTAAATGTGTGATGACTATCATGGAGCTGTCACCCAGGGCAGTTTTAATAGTGGCCAACTACCATATTAAGAGACCATGGGATTTTGAGGAAGCCAGATCGGAGCTCCTGTCTTAAGCAAGAGCCAACTGGTCCTAGAGGAGAAGTCCAAGGGTCTGGTATCTGCAGATACTTCATTGCAGACATGACAGGGCAAAATCAGCTGCTGTGATATGCTTAGAATATACCTGGGAGTCAACCCCACAAAAAAATCCAACTGTAAGACACTCCCAGTGTCACACAAAATTTATCTCATTTTCTGGGCCAAACACTCAACCACTGTCAAGTAGCAGAGCTCCATCAATGACAGCTCAGCAGAGGACTGTGTGTCTGCATTTGATGACGCTTACCTGGTGAGCCGTAGCATTTGTGGGGATCATTCTGCGTGACGTGTTATTCCAGGAGATACTGAAGCACCCTGTACCAGACACGGTCAACATCTGGAAAGCAAAGCAGTAAATAAATTTGATGGTTGGACCTGATGATCTCAGAGGTCTTTTCCAACCTAATGATTCTATGAAATAAGTGAAAACAGATACAAACTGCATGAGATGCACAAACCTGGTATCTTCTACTGAGGAGGATTTTACAGCCAGCATTTTGCCTTTTTAAGCCTCTGTAAATCAAGAGTCCCTTCAGCTACTCTTAAACTGCTCTTATCCACCATGGTCTCTCCTGACACAAGCCTTGGACTCCGGTTCTTAGATTAACGGGAGCACAAGGGATACATGACCTGTACAGACACACTGACAGCCACAAATGGTCCCTAAGGCTCCTGACCTGCAGCTATGGGGTTTTACCACCAGCAAAAACTTCCCTCATTGCTGAGCACTTCATCAAGCCGAAAGTTTCTATCATCTTGATTGCAGTATGGGGTTAACCAGATAACATACACTGAGCGTGCTGTCACTAAGGAGGAGAAATAAAATTATCCCAAACTTGTATTAATTAGCATTAGTTAACAAGGTGAGGCATTAATGAGTGAGATAAAACCTGAGGGGAGTCAGCATTGCTTACACTAACACATGAGCAGATTATAATGCAATCATAGGATTTATATACACCCACCAATGTGTGTAAAAACCACGAACACGTTCAGCTCATGATGGTATTCTCACCAACTATCTCAGCAGGTTAAAAAGAAGATCAGCACATACTTTCATGTCTAGCACTGACAAGGCCTTTACAATCAGGATTTGCTGCGATCAGTGTCAACTGAATCAGGGCTAGTCCAGCTCTCAGGGTCAGGCACCCAGAACTGACCTGCACTTCTGGAAGATGCAAGGCATGAGCCCGAATTTCATGTCTCTCGATGTAGTAGTTGTTCACTACGTGGGGATTCAGCCATGTGTTATGTATCTGGACTCCAACTCTCATCCCATTGCTGGGTGCCTTTCCATGATGCAGCGCTTCCAGGTAGTACCTCGAACCAGCAGTTAGCTCAAATTTGTGGGATTTTGGCTGCCAACTCTCACTCCAGCTCTTCACCCAGTTCTCAGACCACTCCGAATTGCCAGCAGGGAGAGATGCTATTCTCATCTGTGTCCAGAACAACCAAATCAATCAGAGACGTTTCTCCAGCCCTAAAAGATGCTTTGTCCAATACCATAGCTCAGGTCCAAAAAAAGTCTTGTGCTTATAGCTGATAGCAGTAAGTTGGTGGTTGACACATTCCTTGCTATTATACAGGAAAAAGCCATCGTCTCGAAGAGCTTTGGATTAGGGTTCAATACCATAAAGACAATAATTCTTATGGCTGATCCTAGCCCTACTAACAGTTCCCCGTACAACTTTTCATGGATGACTTCTGTTCTACATCTCACATCCTCCAAACACAAAAGAAAGCACTATGTCTACAGCCTTCTGAGACGTAGTATGTTACCATTAGTAAGACCAGTAATGCTCCTTTTTTTTTTTTGTAAGTAAGAAGTCCTTTATACTTCTTCTAGCCCTGTTGAGTTACTAGGCTTAAGAATAGCCCAGAGAAATAGATCACCTTTATTTATAGCATCCTCTCAGCTTTATAAAGAGAAGGACCAATGTTTTCAGAGGGCAAAATTTCAACAGGTAAAAAAAGGAGGCAAACTGAGGGGGTCAGACATCAAGCCTTCAGGTCTCCTTGCACAGATTGTTAGCGATGGTGATGTGCTGAACTAACAAAAAGGTCTTCTGGGAAAGATATTCAAAGACTCTGGTTGCAAGACTGGGGTTTTCATGAGCTGGGCATCTGATAGGTTTTATGTAAAATATCAAATATAATTGATTTCACTCTGCAACAGATTTATAATAAGGGTCAATATGACAATTCACACTGGGGAAATTCGCACTTGTTATGACCTTAATTAAAATCATTTCCTATCCTGATCTCATTTTTTGTCTGTTGAGAGTAATACCTTATGTTCTGGATCTTGGGACAAACTGAAGTAGAGAGAAGCCTGACCATCTGCCTGAATCCAGAAGGTGTAATTGTTGGTCTGGGGAGCCACAAAAAATCCACGAAGCCTGGAGCTAAACAAAAGCAGATCATCCATAATATACAAGCAAGTTACTGCAAAAATGCCCCAGCCCCACATCACACCTTCACATGTACACTGAGTAACAAAGAAAAACTGTGAGACCAAGCTATAACAGAACAAACTCAGAGATTTTAAAACTGAAGGAACCTCAGAATGACCCATTTTCATGTTAAATGTCATTTATGCTTTACAGAAGTTTTCAAAAAGGAAAAATAATAAAAAAAAAACCAACTCAATGAAAATAAATATGGGTCAGTTGGTCACTTTTTTTGCTCATTTCTTCTCAAGCAAAGTCTCAACCTTGAACAGGAAGTAAAAAGCTCAAAATCACAAACAAGACCAACCGAGAAAAACAAAGTGATAGAAAAAATGAAAACATTCATTCATATTGTACAGCTTTTCAAGGATGTATCTGAGGAGGCAATGAGCACCAACACGGTTCAGATATTTTCACAGCTTGAGGCAAAGCAGTTTATTTCCATTAACTCCACCCGCGCTGCAGCTGCCAACATCAGCTGAGGATCTGGCCCCTCACATCTGGACAGAGCTTCAGAGCAAGACAGCCTCTAACTGGAGGTCCTTCTACTTCTGCAGGAACTTCTTTTGGGGTATTTCAGCATATTGAGGACAGGTAGAGAAGAAATACTGAGTGAAAGCTAAAGGAGGAAAAAATGAAATGTTTCTCTGCATATTTTGAGCTTCAAAAGCACCTCGGAACAGAAGGTTTGCTTTGATTCAAAGCAGCTATGCAGTAAGGCTCTGCTATAAAGAGCCGCCAGGTGTTATTGCTACACCTTACGCTGCTAAAGGTGATTGCCATGGCTTCATCTCTTTTTAAGATCACCAAGTACCTGAAGGACTTCTTTGCCCCAGACAGAAATCTTACTGGGGAACTGGCATCAGGTACAATCTGCCATCTATATCCGGGACCTGCTTCTGTCAGATCAGAGGCATCATTCCAGACTTCAAAGAGAAGCCCTCTGTTTCCTAGGAAGTTAAAATAAAAGCGTTCTCAGTAGCAGCCAACAAAAATCCCAGAGCACATGCTAGAATCAGTGGTGTAAGGAGGCAGGCCAGAACAGAAAATTTTAATAATGAATTGGCTCTGTCTGTGGGTATTTTTTGCAGTCCAAGGCAGAACACAGATCTTGCTTTAGGGAAATAGTTCTACCTTGAAATCCTCCACCAGAAAGAAAGCAAATCTGCAGAGAGCAGAGCATCCAACCAAGCTCACATGTCTGCTCTTGCAGGAAACGGTACTGAGCAGACCCACAGTGACAATGAGCTAAGCTTCATCTTATGCACAACAATTTCCTACTGCAATGCTCCACTCAGTGTCCCCAGAAGCCTCTGAGGTTGCTCTAGTTCAGCTATCCTTACTCTAAATATTATCCATACTTTTTTTCCCCTCATTTTCCACAGCCCTACACAGCAGGCTGACCTTCCGCCCACCACGGCCCATTTGAAAGTGGTGGGCTGAGCTCTCTACCTTGTCTTGCCTTGCTGTAGAGTCATGGAATAGTTTGGGTTGGAAAGGACCTTTAAAGGCCACCTAGTCCAACCCCCTTGCAGTGAGAAGAGACATCTTCAACTAGATCAGGTTGCTCAGAGCCCAGTCCAACCTGACCTGGAATGTTTCCAGGGATGGGGTATCTACCATGCCTCTGAGCAACCTGTTCCAGTGCTTCACCACCCTCATCATGAAAGATTTCTTCCATGTATCTAGTCTGAACCTACCACCTTTTAGTTTAAAATCATTACCCCTTGTCCTATCACAACAGGCCCAGCTAAAAAGATTGCCCTCATCTTTCTTATAGGCCCCCTTTAAGCACTAGAAGAACACAATAAGGTCTCCCCAGAGCCTCTCTTCTCCAGGATGAACAATCCCAACTCTCTCAGCCTGTCCTCACAGGGGAGGTGTGCTCTGTCTCTCCCTCTCTGGAAGGCCTCTGAACACCTCTGTGACCCTCCTCCCTGTCAAACCTAGGAGAAACTGGGTTGATGTTGAGGCACACAGGATTTTGGAAAGCCCTGTTTCTTGATTGTGTTCCTCACCAAACGATTTCTGCCCTCCATTTCCATGTGTGTGTTTGCTTTTTGGACTTTCAGTTGTTTGAATACCATACCTGGGTGGGGGGGACCAAGCCTCCTGCTGTTGCCAGCTGGCTCGGTGGTGCATCTGATTTGCTGGGGAGAGACGTGCTTGACTTTACAGGGGACACCTGGCAGCAGGAAAAGGAGACAGATGTGCTGTGTGAGACTTGGAAACACAGCTGAGCTGCAGCATGAACCCATCTTGTTTCAAAAAAGGGACAATTACTTTGCTAAAAGCCTGGGCTTGTTCTATCAGGCAAGTAAAATGGTTCATGCCCACAGTCAAGGTAACTGGACCTTCCTGATGGTGAGTCCTACAACCCCCACAATGGTATCCATGAACATCAGTTGGGTTTTGTGGTCAGGGCCAGGACCACTGTACTGAAAAAAAAAAAAAACAAAACACCCCAACAAAAAGAAAACATTTAACACACTTCTTCTCTTACCTGCAGCAGTGACCTGCACCGGCTCCTCAAAGAAATCCCCCGTGACAGTGAGATCAGTGCCTCCTCTGAGACTCCCGCCAGCTGGGAACACAGAGGCTATTTCTACAGAGGAAAGAAAAGAGGAATCTGAAAACAAGAATTGGAAAGGTTAATCCCAGCCCTATTTCTGTTAAAGCCAGCAGTGCACTTGCACAGTTTCCAGCCGGAGCAGGCTCCTGTGAATGAAACAGGCATCCCACTGATCCTTCACAGGGTTTTTGGCAGCCGCTGGGATTACACCAGGAATGAACAACATGGATAACTCGGCTGCATGACAGGAGAAACACTGTAATGCTTGGACTGTTACTTAGCAGTGGCTGTGTCTGTCATGCTCAGATTGCAAAGCGATGTATTCTGTGCTATTGACAAGCTCTGTGAAAAAAAAGGTGGAATTAAAACTGTTTTAATCCTTTTGACCTTCTCTGACTCGATTCTCAATTTAGCCTATACATTTAGATGTTACCACACTTTCCAATCATCCCTTCGGCTTCAGGGACAAATGGAGGGAGCTGAACATCTGATATCCGAGTGTTCAGATCATGACCACAAGAATCCTTCTGGATTTTATCTCTGTTATAGTCACACCCTTCCACACTGGAAACCTATTTTTCTCTTTGATGACATTTACTCACTTTGTATGAGTTTAACCACCCAATTGTATTTGCGTAGTTCTGAAAAGAAAAAAGACTAATAAAGAAAGATGAGGGGTATTAGTCTATGTCTGCATATTTATTATTCCTGTTGTTAATTCATCCGGTATTTAAACTTTACTTTCATAATATTGACTGCTGGCTAGCACAGTACAGTCTACTAGACAGATCTGGCAGATCTTGTTTCTGCTGGTGCTCTGCCAATAGACAACTTCATGCAAGGTTATTACATTTTACTGTGCCTCAATTTGTAAACAAGGGCATAAAATTACCCTCTTTTACAAAGTGTTTGAATTTATAGGAGAAACAAGATGTATGCTATAAACAGCATACAAAACACAGACACGTATCAGCTAAGTTGTTTGTTGGGTTGTTTTTTTTTTAAAAAAAAAAAAAAAACCTCTTGTTACTTTTGAACCACGTTTCTCAGATACAACCAACATGGAACTATTGCACTGATCACAGAATCATTTTGATTGGAAAAGACCTTTAAGAGCATCAGGTCCAACCATTATCCTAATACTACCCAGCCCACCATTAAACCATGTCCCTAGGCACCACATCTATACATATTTTGAACACCTCCAGACAGGATGACACCACTACCTCCCTGGGCAGCCTGTTCCAAGGTCTAACCGCTATTTCAGTAAAGAAATTTTTCCTAATAACCAATCTAAATCTTCCCTGGTGCATTATTTCAGCCAACTAGAAAGCAAAAACTTGATAGGAACTTGCTGAGGACCTGTGCAGGTGAATCAAGTGGTCTTTCAGCTTCATGCAACCTCTGACTAAGGCCAAAGGCTGCCCGGTGCTCTGCATTCCCTGATCCCCTACTTTTGCTTTGGCTGTTGGGCACATGGTCTTGCTGAATCTTGGGCACTATTTACCCACTAGTATAATACTGAGCAGCTGCTCAGGATTTCATTGTCTGCTGTCTACAATAGAGCTGGAAATGTCACATGGAGGTTATTATTGTTAATGTATCTTATTTTTTTGTTGTTTTAAACTAATGGTGCAGTAACTTACCATTCACCATTTATCGAGAACTCAATTCTTGGAATGGCCGAACATCATCTCCTCCTTGTAGCTGATGTGGGATTTATCATCATCCTAAGGTCCGCATTTCTAAAATCTCAACCTTATCAAATACAGTGCCGTTTAAGGGGGAAATGTTTCTCTAGATGCAACATCCTAAGTCTACAACTGATCTGGACACAAAAAGGAACAACAATAAAGCAACACTATCCCAAACCCTGCTGTACTGCTGTTCTTTGGCTGATGATCTCAGCTTAGGCTGTCCAAAACAGAGTTCAAACATACCCCTGTATGAGAGGAACACTAACTCACTGGGGATGTAGGACATAGCCCATGGCAGCACACCGAGCCCTAGCACATAAATCTAGGCTTCCTGAAATGTTTTATTTTTGTATAGTCAAGCCCATACCAGGGGAGTGGCACACCCAAAATGAAGATACAACAGGATTATGTTTGTGGGAAGAGCAACAGTGAGAGGTCTTGTCTTAGATCACGCTGGGACTGCCAAAAGACAGTGCAGCCAGGGAGGTCAGTGCAATACCTGAATGCGTTTGATACAAGAAAAGCTCCTGTTTGGCACTGATGAGCCAAGCACCTTTGTGTACTGCTGACCTGCAAGAGAGAGAAAATGTCTGAGAGATCCTTGGCCATCTAAGTTAAAGCAGACCTCCTTTTGGCAGAGCTGGAGCCCCCTCTCCAGAGGGATAGTGCAGCATTTCTACAAGGACCAACACCACTTTTCGCCAGCACATTGAGGCATGGATTCAAGACACTCCATTACATGGCTGAAAGTCTTTATTAGAAGTACTGTTCCATTGTAAAATATCGTTTTGACATTTTCATCCCCCTTTTATGACTAAATTCTTTCCCATTTTCATGAATAGTTAAAAGCAAAGTGAAAGGATTTTCTTCAGCTGGGCTTAACAGATGACTTATGCTTTGGGCACTGAAGCTAAAGTATTAAAACCCCAGAGCGGAGATGCTTTGAGGGAGAAACATTCTCCCTTTTTGTTCCAAACTTGATGACCATCTTCTCAAGACAGCAAAACCTCATTTCTAAGAAATTAACACAAGATTCAGTAAAAATTAATCTTATTAACATATCCTGGATTCAAATGCAGCTGTGTTCCCATGCAACACCACAGAAAAAAAAAAAAAAAAAAAAAAGAGACAAAAAGAATCTTTTACTCACTTTCCTTTGTTAAACACCAAGAAGCTAACATTGTGGGACCCTGGAGGAGAGAAGAATAATATGCTTTAAGTAGAAGCGTGGATGGCTCCATGAAGAGCGCATCCTACCAAAGTTTGTCCAGGTGTCCCGGGCATGATTCTCCTCTTCCTTACACTTTCCTCACAACAGTATAACTGTTGATTTCAGCAGTGTGTGTGTGGGAACTGAACCAAATATCATCTTAAGGAACTTAGAGCCTTAGTTCATATGTAGACACTATGCTGTAGATAAGTACAGTTACGTATCTGAACCTGCAATCTGAATCTCAGGGGTAGGATGGTTGTCTAAGTGCTTTGTGTCATCTTAGACCCTATGGATTTTATGTGACCTCGCTTGCCATGCTAGGAAGGTACAGACCTCCTTCAAGACCTCCATTATCTCTGACACCCCTCTGGAGAGATCCCAGATACCCCAGGACATCTCTAAAGTTCAGGGTATCGAATTGTACCACCAGAGTCTGCATGAGAGATGGACATTAATTTCTATTTTATATATTTCACTCAGATCATCTTTCCCAAGCAGGAAGCATGCTGCTCAGACAAAGCTTTGGGAAGAAATCAGAAGATTGTTCAAAGTGCTGGGAAGCAAGGAAAAATGAAAGACATCCAACCTGCTACCAGAGAGATCATGAATAGAAGGGGGCACCAAATTTGTTCCTCTCTGATAAGAGAGAAGTAAAGGGAAGGCCCATCACATACAAGAAGCAATAAAGTGAAGGGAAAAAAAAGCTAAACTGAGCAAAGACCCCAAACCACATTGTTGCTGTTAGCAATGTTCACATCTCTGTCATGGTTTCACTTGAGCACAGCAGCCCATTTTCTCCAAGACTGTGCAGAGGGTCTGAATCACTGCAGTGCCTGTGTAGAACTGTGGAAAGCCTTGACACGAAGCAGGTTTTCTGGTCTCAAACCTGAGCTGAATTCCTAACTAGAGACAGACCAGGGACTTGTGATGGACACCCTCCCTCTGCCCTCTGGAGTTGCAGGAATAGCAGAAATCCATGCTTTTCCCCCCTTTTCACCAACCTATGTGGTTCCCTTCCACCCGACACTGCAGAGTTCCCAGTCCATCCTCTGCCCGAATAGCGTAGCTGTGGAGAGACAAAGGACTTTGCTAAGTCTTGTGAGCAAAAACAGCAAAATACAGTGAGAATCATTTAACCAAAGACGTGGACTTACACATCTGAGCTAGTCACACTTGGCTCCCTTTAGGAATAAATGAGAGAAACAAGTGAGATGGGAGAGGAACAACCAATCTCCCCACTGACAATCAGGAACTCAGCATCTTAAGAAGAAGACTACCAGCAACACCCAGAGCTCCAGGTTGGCTCCTTTGCCCTTGTTACCAGAAGTCAACCCACTTGGTGACCTTAAGAACCCCCATTTGAAGCAAGAACTGAGGGGAGACAAGTCTGGGTACAGGGCGAGGGTGAATAGGATAACAAAAGTGTTTCCCCTCTACCTGCATGTCCCTAATCTACAAGTAGGACCAGGTAGGAATTAACGCAGATATGGTGGCATTACATCAACCTTCTGGAACCATGGAAAGAAGCAAGTCCCATCATCAACTCACATTTGCGTGCAAGTCCCCGTCCTGGGAGGCAGAAGCAATTTTGCCGTGCAGTAAGAGGATCCACTGAGGACCCCAGGAGCCTTAGCACTGACTTCTGCAGGAACAGGATTTTACCCTGGTTCCGTGTAAAAGCAGCCTCTCCCTTTCCAGGGTTCTGCGAGAAGTGCATCATTCATAAAAGAAGCACTGCTGCATAGCCCATGGCTCCTTTTGTAATTCAACAAGGTGCAAGAACCAGCAGCCTAAAGGGTCTCCTGTGACTTACAGAAGACCAGGATACATTAATAACACTAAATGAACAGTGCCAGGGCCCAGACACCAGAGCCTGTCTGCCTATGCTGTTAAATTTTTAGAGCTCTACTTGCCCAGTTTGGGCTCAAGTCAGCTAAATCCACATTTCAAATTAATGTCTGTATATGACAGAAGACAATACATTGACCAGAGTCAATAGGCAACTTGGAAAAGCCTAAACTGTTTTGGAGTCTAACCAGTGGGACAGAACAGATGTGGCCAGGGCATAACGTATCATCTCCGGGTCAGATAAAAAGCCCTGTCCCTGCCTGGTTTTAGCTACAGCCACAGAGAGACAGCAGCCCTCACCCACCCCTGTCACAGACCATATGGTCAGCTGCCCGTGGTCCCTTTCCATTTTAAGCCAAAGCAGAAAAGCTTCTTCAAGAGCCCAGAAAATTTTTGTGCACAAGCTGTGCTGAGCCCTTGCACCAACACAAACCAAAAGCAAGTAAAGAACTGACATGTTTCCAGCTCGCCTGTCAGCAAAAGAGCAGAGACTGGTCCATCCATCTCCTTCTGCCACAAGGATAGCTGGTCTAGGCAGAAAACAAACAGGGAAGATGAGATATGATACAACGAAGATTCACAAATGAAATCCTGATCCTGTTAAAATCAGCAGCCAATATTTTCAAATGGGACAGAAACTTCCCCTCACTTCTATCTAACATTCATTAACCCCCTAGAAAAGTGGACAAGCCCTAATCTCTTACCTCTTCACCTGCAAGTGTATTCACCAAATACTGTGAACTGCACCTCTGTAAAGATTGTGGCAGGACCATCTTTGAGAAACCTATGCCAGCTCTGAATGAGGCTACACCTCCTCCCTAGGGTTGGTAGTCTGAGCTCCAGGAGGACTATACCCACCCTTACCTTCCAGAAGCAGCAGGTAGCACAAGTACAGCATCATGCTTGTACAACCGTAATGCTTCAAGACACAGCTCAGTCATTTTTTTATTTCACTGAGGAAAAACACTACAAACAAGCTCTGCCAGAAATCATCCAAGCCTCTAATAGCACACTCAGGTATCCTCAGTTTAAAGAACAAATATGGCAAGGGACATCTTCCTCTGGAGGGGAAGAATCAGGTGGGAATAATAAATTCACAGTAATCAGCATAATAAATCACAGTTGGCAATGATTCTTTGACAATTAACGGGCAATTAAGGAAAATACGTAATTAAAACCTGTAATGCAAACACTTTGCTATGACCCATGCTTCAGAGTGTGGTTTTATGAAGTTTTAATAAAATATTTTGCTTTTATTAGTACACCTTGCTGATATAGAGATGCTTTTCCTTTTAAGGATGAATAGAAACAAATTCGGTGCTGCAAAATATTTGGTTCAGCATCACTGCACCATTGCATCCCATACAGAGCACGGAAAAGGGTGCAAAACACACTTGAAAGTATAAAAACCGTTCTCTTTTTTTGGTCCAAACCTTGAATCAGTGTGACTGAGTGACAGACTGCGCTGGTCAAGTCCAAGTCCCCACCTGGTACGCATTTACTAACATACCAAAAATGGGCAAAATATTCATGTGAAGCTACAACGTGAACCTGTCTGGTATGCTAAGATTTTGAGGCCATTTCCTTTTTGGCAATAGTGAGGTTAAGCTGTAAATAAGTAATCCAGCACTGAAGCATGCAGGCACCTGCAGTCAGACAGACCAGCCTTTCTTCCCACTGATCAAAGTTTTCACAGTTCCACCAGAGGCAGGTAAAACAATAATTAATATTGAACAAAGGATGCTAATGCATGCCCAGCGAGCAAAAATGTGGGGCTGATAAATGGGTGCAGCTGGTATGGCAGGAATCTGCACTGGACTTTCATTCATGCTAGCAGAGAATTTACTTAGCAAGGGACATTTCCATTCAGCCTGAGAAGTACTTAAAAAGCATCTAGTGGTCAAACATCTGCTGCTGCAAGTAAAATTTCTAACTACTGAGAACACACACACACCTTCTCTGGCTCCTGAAATCATCCTCAAAATGCTGTCATGGTAAATATAGATTAATAGTTTATCTTTAAAATACTCACCTGGGCTTAGTTCTTCACTGCCATTGGCACAAGTGCAAGGAAGTCGTAACTCAGTAATATCTGAGAACACTTCCATACGTATGGAAATACATATGACAGACGGTCAGCATTCATGCTCGTTTTGGATTCACTGTGCTTAAAGTGCTGCTGTCCTGAAGTAAATTTTTTAAATCTATCTGCTTTGCTCTGTTGCATGTAACCATAGAAGCAGCAGAAAATAAAAATCAACCCTTTCTCGAGAACAAGGAAGTGACCAGAGAGGGTTTAAAAGAGTGAACAACAAAGCCTTTTGTCTCAAAATACTTCTGCTTTGTCTCCTGACTCACCAGAGCATCTGCTCCAAACTAATAGTTTTTCTAAAAATGCAAATGGAAAGGAAAATTTATTTAACTTTTAGATTCTGACATTATTTTAATTAGTTAAATTTTAATTTGCTAACCAAAATAAAATCTACAGCAACCAGACGCAATTACAGTACAATTCACACTGAGCTGTGATTGACTGTGCTGCCAGTAAACAAACCAACTAGCTTAATGGACCAGTTGCAATTAGATTAACAAAGTTTGCTGGAGCCCAACTCATGAGCTGCAATAAACCACTAAGGAAGTAAATGGCAATTCTGGGCCAACTGGTTGCAATTTATTGCTGTCAAGGAGGCTGATGGAAGAAATGCCAATTTACAGGGACTGGGTCAGACAGCAGCCTATGCATAATTACCCATCAATGTAATTCACGTTGAAGTCCAGGGTCTCATATCTTCCAGCAATTGTCTTCCCATATATCTCTATTAAATTTCCTGTTTAAAAGGAAATGGAAATTGAAGGGAGTCTTTTAAAAGCGGAGAATTTCTTTGCAGACTTTGTGAGTGGAACAAAAGAAATTCTTGATCTTTACAAATTTTACAGAGAGGTGCCTAATTGGCTGCACTGATGGCTACTCTCAGCTCCTATGGTATAGTTCAAAGTGACTTTGCAATTAATTCTCTTTTGCCAAAACACATGACTTTGTTTCCCACATTCTTGATTTTTTAGCAGATTTCTAGTATGGTACTTGAAGACATTTTCCCCAACTCTTT